TTCTCTAGTATATTTTGCTTTTACTAAAATATACATATCCTCAGGATTCAAAATTTGGCACACATGTTCCTTAATGTATTTGTTATAAAATAAAATTTATCTGACATCTCTAGCTATACTAGAAGTCACGCAATATCGATGTTTATAATATATGTCACCTTGGGGTAAAGCTGTTATGGGTAAAACGGTTAAAATATATATTTACAGTAACACCAAATAATATATTAAACGGATTCTTAGCTTGTGGCATATATCCTTTAAACCCAAATATATTTACAGATCAAAATTATATCTGCTGAAATAATTAAAATGCTAGCTTAAATAATGAAATTGAAAATAATGAGGAAACTTACAGTGAATAATATAGAATTTATGACTCAAAATAATGACAGTTATTTCTTTAAAGTATAACTAGGAATTATTAGTCCCTTAATGGGCATGGTGGGCATAGTTTATTCCATTAACTTTAGGTGGGTATTGATTGTTTCTTATAGAAATTACTGCCTTAATTAACTATTAAACATGACGTTTATACTTTTGAAATTAATTTTATCACTTAAAATATTTTGGAGTATTTGACCGTATTTAACCAGGTCAAATACTCCTCCCGTCAATTGACTTAAATTGAACGGTCAATTGACCGAATTGCCTACTCTGATAAAAAGTATTCAAAAATCATCTTCAAAACCTAGTTTATGGTGTGTACATCCTATTTGTTTTTAATTAATTTTAGACGATTTAAAAAGTTTGGAAATTTGTTTTTATAAGGGCTATGTGTGGAATAATTGTAAGAAGAAGCTAATCTGATCATATAAAACTTAGATTGTTTCAATCTAAGACGCGAGACCGGACCGGGGTGATTTTTATCCATAAAAAATAAGTGTTATAAAAATAGATTAAGCAAATTTATCAAAATATAGAATTTTAAAAAATATCATAGTTTATCAAGTGATTAAATCTATATTTTATTTACTTTTAATTTAATTACCCGTAAAAATTCCCTCAAAACTATCAAAAGTCGTAACAATTTATTAAAATTATTTTATTTATTCTATGACAAATATAAAATTATTCACAAATATTAATAAAATGAATATCAAAAAAGATAACGTTGTTTAACAAATTTATATTAAGTTTTAAGATTAAAATATCGTCTAAAGTATATTTGTCAAATTTATTTCGTAATGTGGTTACTTCGTAGTGCACTGAAGGATCCCATCGATATATGTGAGAAAAGATCAGCTAGAACTACTCGCTAGAGGGATATTTTGGATAAATGTAAAAATATTTTGATGGGAAGGCAATTTTAGGCTATACATTAATTTGTAATATCCATTATCGAATTAGAGTTAAACAACAAATAAATGCATTTCAGCTTAAAATTAAAACTAGAGTCAACTCCTGAGCCAGCATATCTAATCTGTTTGAGCCTTAGCCAATTTTTACAACTTTAGTGCAAGAATTAAATCAACATAAATTATCCTCATTTTTCGTTGATATATGAATTATAAATATCTAAAAATCGATAAATTCCTCTAATAAATTTTTCCCGGTCTTAGAAGGTAATTATTTCGAATTCCATATCAATTATTTAATTAATATGAAATTGAATTACTCGTCCTCTAATTTTTAATTTTGAATATAAGTATACAATTTTTTAAAAAAGACTATTGCTGAAATATTCGTCCTCTATGCATAAAATTGAGCAAAACATTAACAATAAATTATTATAAGTTGATTTGGGTTGGTGCTCGGGTCTGTGCTTGGGTCGATGCTCGGGTCAATGCTTGAGTCATTGCTCGGGTCGATGTTCGGGTCTGTGCTTGGGTCGGTGCTCGAGTCTATGGATTTGGTCGACCAATTTGGTTGCTTTGGTTTTGGTTCATTTTTTTAACCAAAAACCAGAGTCGTGGTCGTGTAAAACCAGCTAATTAACCACACTACCTATGAGGTATTTTCATATTTTTCAAAAAATACATGTAAAAAGCTAATATTTTGAGAATATTATATTGAATTTATAAAAATTATAAAACTGTTATTTATAAAAATGTATATTTAGAGCATATACTATATTTTATATTGCATTTATAAAAATAAAACTAATATTCATAAAAATGGTAATAATATTTTGAGCATATACTATATTTTATATTGCATTTAAAAAAAATAAAACTAATATTTAATTTATAAAAATGGAAAATATTTTGAGAATATAATATATTGTATTTAATTTACTATTTAATTTATAAAATAAAAATAAATCGCATTTAAAAAAATGCATGTATAATAAATAGTATTTTGAAAATATAATCTAATTGCACAATATTAATATAATTTATTTTATAATATAAATTTTTAACAAAAGAAGATAATTGCATTATATAATATTGTAAAAAAAAATAATGAAAAATGTTGGATTAAAAACTTTCATGACTCAAGGTAAAATGTAATTAATGCAATAAATATTTGACAGTTTGCAAAGTAAAAAACCAGCATGATTGACGAAACCCTATACTCAAGAAAGATATTAAAAATTCACAAATTATCATGAAGAAAGAGAAGCATATCTACCTTTTCAGGTTGAAGATTACTTCTTCTTTATTCAAGAATTCTCCCAGTAGTGGAAAAATTCCGCTCACAGCTTGCACTTGAAGCAGGAATTGCCAATACCCGTTTTGCCAATTTTGCTAAAATTGGAAATTCGCTTTGATGAGCCGCCCACCACTCTAACAAATTATCCACCTTAAATATTTCATCTATTTTTTTATTTATGTAATTATAATATTCATCATCGGGTATTGACATATTACCAGAATTACCAACGCCCCATTTGTCATAAAACGATTCAGTTTGTTTAACAAAGTCGTAATTTGACTGGTCGATGGTATTTCATTTACTTCCTGAGCCTCTTGTAATTTAATATAATCTTTTATATAGTTTTCCGTTATCTTGCGATCTGTCCCTGACAACATACGTAATTGCTTGAATTTGGGACAGAGAAAAAGAGAAATAAAATGATACTTGTGTAAAACAAATTTTTCAATTAAAAAATACTTTATATTAAGTAAAATCAAATTTATTTCTCCTTTTCGCTTTGAAAGGTATTACAAACTTCAAGAAGTTTATAATACCAAATTATCATTTTAAAAAGAGTACAAGAGTCCGACTGTAACTCAACAATAGCTCTGTTAAAATTCTCAAAAATTTTGACTAGATCCTGAAGGATCGTAAAGTCTATAATATAATACATTTCCGATCCCCCATGTTCTTGAAGAACTTTTATAATTTCTTCATTTTGAGAATAAACAAAATTGAGCATATTGTATTTAGAGATACAGCGGACTTCTATATCTTGATAAAGGGCTTTCAAATGCTGGCATTTATTACTTTGTTTTAAATGCCCCACTAATATTTTAGTATTATCTATTGTTGATTTTATTAATGGGGCATTACTTTCCAAATATTTGAAGTTTTCTTAAAATTGTATTTAATATATGACAAGAACAATTTAATCGTTCATTTAACTCCAATGCTTTTATAATATTTTTGCCTTGGTCTGTAACAAATATTATATTAATAAAATCGTTAGTGTTAAAATTAAAATTGTGAAAATTTTTTAATAGTTCATCCTTAACTACTTTGCTAGTCTTTGACACTTCTTTAAATTTAGCGGTAAATAGGTTTCTCTTCACTAACTTCCAGTCATCTGATATATAGTGCATGTTAACTGTTATAAACGAGTTCTTTTTATGGTCATCACACCATATATCAGTGGAAGCAGCCATAAATCGATTCTTGATTACTGGGGCAAAAGTATCAACTAAAATGTTTCTTATTTTATTACATTTTTCTTTAAGGTGGCGTGATAGAGTGGTGGGATGTGAAATCAATGAGTTAATATTGATATCTATTTTACCATACTTTGCCCCAACATCGACTAGAGCCTGGCTGAATTCAAGAAACCCATTCCCAGCTATCATTTCGAAAGGTCTAATATCTTTTGCGCAAAGTGTTAGGAATGATCTATAAATTTTTCTTTTAAATATTTTATATTACATTTATAGGTTGGTTTTTCAGGTGTAATTTTTTTTTTTATTAATTTTCATGGATTTACCATCACATTTATGTCTTTTTAAATGTGATGTACCATGTTTATAATTATAAGATAATATACTTGAACAATTCTTACATTGTACGTCACCAATGTTTTTTTTATTTTCATCTATGATGATGTTAAATTTAGTCCATATTTCAGATTTTAAATTATTATTTGTATTTCTAAAAGAATAAATATTATTTTTAATTTTATTAATTATACCATTAGTATTTTGTGCCATGATATTCCTTTATTTGATTGTTTTGGTAAAATATGTTGTAAAAATTTAGATATGAATTATAAAAAAATATATTAATACTTTGAATAAATTTGCAGGAAATTAATAATTAGATCGATCGGTGGGTGTTAGGTAGTGTTAACCATCACCCAATATTATATTAATCATAACTATAATATAATATAATCTTATAACCATTAACTCATAATGTAAAAATTTTTATAAAAAATATTAAGGCCCGGCCCGGGTTTAACAATCTTAGGCCCGGCCCGGATATGTTTAAAAAAATTTTTTTTAGGCCCGGCCCGGGTATATTTAAAAAATTTAAAATACGGCCCGGGCTTAGGGCCGGGCCTGCAGGTCTCTGGTATATATACTGAATTATTTATACAACACTTTTATTCCTAGAACTTATTTTAGGTTTAAATTATTTATCCAAGGCACCATTTAGTTTTGAATGCCAAATTTAGCTATCACACATTTCTGTGTTTTTATTTAAACTTATATATAATACAGAAAAAACTAATCTAATTGTCTACAGGAGAAATTTTAAGTTTTAAATATACACCTTTTTATTTATTCATATAGTACATATTGATAATTGCATTTTCTTTAAAAATATTTATATATAAATATAGTCAATAATATAATATATATATTTTTTAGGAAATGTTAAGGAACAATGCTATTAAAGATAAAATGAGATTACTTGATGCTTCAAAAATTGTATCCTCCTTATACCAAATTATTGTAATTTTTATTTTTCATTTTATTAAGCACCTCTTTTTTAAAAACAAATGAAGTTAAATTTATTGTTTATTGAATAAAAATTTCGGGAAGTCACATAAAAAATTGTTGTAATTTATATAAAGTTTTAGTTTTAACTAAAATATTCCCACTTCTCACGCGCCTAGCACTTATAGATTGAATTCTATCTCGTTTTAATTTATTCTTACTAATTCTGGAAAGAGCATTTTATTCAGAAAATTATAAAAAGACAAATTTTTTTTTGGGGGGGGGGATTAAAATAGAATTTGACGCAAGAGTTGATGACCTAATTCTCAGAGGGTTGTTTTTATTCTTGTTTAAAATCAATATATCAGAATCTATTTTGAACTCTTAAAAGAAAAGAGGACGACTTTATTACAGTGCTGACCAGTTGGATGGAAAAATTTGACTTGCAAAAAATTGTTAAAATAACATATTTATTATTCTTATCAATTTTTACAAGTTGAATAATTATATTTACAAACGAATTAAAAAATATGGAAATTTTTTGAATTAGATCTTCACAACACTGTATAAAGACTTGTTTAAAAAAGTAAAATTGAATTAGACGAACTCAAAAAAGGATTCTTATACATTATATCTAATCTTTTTGTTTTAAAATGAAATTTTGATGCTTCACTCACTCCATTTAACAACACAAAAAGGCTTTGTATCGAATGGATATTCCCGAACTTTGCGTTGCGGCTTTCGAAGTGATAGGCCTTTATTCCTCCTGGCTGGACATAAACTTAATTATCAACGACAAAACGCTAACCCTGATTTCCGAAACCATAGCATCCTCTTCCCAATCCTTCGGAAGTAACGCGATCTACGATTCGCACGTTAAAATAGCAGCATTGAAAGCGCTATGCGACGTGCTCAATAAAAAAATGGAACCTTTGCCTAAGGTGCAATTCCTGGAGAGGATGTACGATAGAATAGTGAGTCAAGATCTCGGATTCACCTTTGAAATAGCTATTGACGAATATTCTAAAGTCAGTTATATTCCCCCCTCATATCCTATCATATTAGACATTTAAAAAAAATATATTCAGAGTTGGGCTAAATATTCCGGAAATGTATTTTGTTAAAGTACTTTCTATATTTCGCTACATGCTATAAGCTACATTTTAAAATCGTTCGCAAAATACAATGCGTTAATCTAGTAAAACCTAAAGTCACTAATAATTAAAAAATACATTTAGCTAAAAAATTAAACATTTAAAATATGACCGGAGAGTAAATAAATATTTGACAGAATAATTTATATGATCCAATACAATATATCAATAATCATATAAATAAAAAGTAGTTAGTATATTTAATGATAATCAATTTTACAAAGTTTTATACGCAAACACTCTGTGAGGAGTATTTACTAATCACACTAATGAAAACATTACTATTGCGGAGAAAGATAGTATCTAGTGTTGTTAAAAGGCTTGATTTAACCGATTTTAAATTAAGATTTTAGCCAAAATGATATTTCGCAAACCTCGAGATTTCTTTAAGCCGTTTTTAAAAACGAACCATAATAACAACATTATATAAATATCGTATTATATTTTGTGAAACATTCCCTATTATCGTATACTTTTATAAAGTTATTTTAATTTCGAATAACGAATCGCGAAGATATTGAAATATTTGAAAACTCAATATTATTACTTGGCATCTCAAAAAAATGATTATAATAAAAAATAAAATTAATTATTATTTTTTTTACAGCAATGTGGATCTTAACATTTGTCGTGGAATATAATATTCCCTTGATAATATTAATTTGGGAGGTTGCGTAATTAGGGTTGTTCAAATCAGCGCCGATATATAGCGTTTTCAAAAAATGACCGGACCAATATTTTTTAAAAAACCGATCCGATCCGATATTTATTATTATTTTTGGTTATTTTATGATTGTATATATAACCATATAATTTTTTTATTTAAAAATAATTTCATAATAATAATGTTTGTTGTAATGTATAAAAAAATAGTTAAAAATTGTATACTATTTTTTTGTTAAATTATCTGCACAAGATAAAGATTTTCATATATCTAACGAGCCACATTGAGCTAGAGTTGTTAACGACTCATTTAGCCTATTTTAAAAAACGTTTAGCAAAATTTTGACCAAGTGTAAATTACTCAAGCTTAGTGATTATCAGATGGCAGAAAGATTTGGACTTCTATTTCGAGGCTTAGGTAATAACATTCCTTTTTAAGAATTGGCTGAATGGAGTTGTTTAACAGTAACACATTCACTATAAACATTGCAAATATTTTTAATGAGATTATTAACATTTGGTTAATAAATAAGATACAAATTATTCGTGAAAGTCAGCTGTTTTTTCTTAAAATAGAAAATATTGATATTTTTATGACATTGATACATGGTAAATAAAAATCAATATAAATTCGGATCGGTAGAATATAGGATTGGATCATTGAAAAAATTTATGGGTCGGCATAGCCCTACATCTAACACTTCCCGTTCTTGCTTTATTATTCATGACGCTCTTAACAATTATCTTTAAGAAAAAGAAAAGTGTTAATTAAATGACAGAATTAAGCTAAATAAAAATAGCTAAACATTGTAATATTAATATCGTCGGCTGAATATTATAGCATTCTATATCCATTTTTTTTTTAAAAAATAGATTTTTCAGGAGAATATTTAAAAATAAATAATATTTCAAGTATTTTATAGATGGGAGATTACACCATAATTAATGCATAAATAATAATTATTCTAAATTATATTTTTAAACATCTTTATTGGTGATATGGAAAGAATTGACTTATCTAATAAAATGCATTTAGCATAAAATAAAGCGGATAAGACATTATAATATTCAGCTGGATGTATAAAATTTATACTCTTTATTTTCCTTTTCATTAAGATGAAATTGGTTTTTATTTGTTTCTTAATTATCACCTTCGTCGTAGATGGCATAATTTTCCTAGCCCGCTTGGGCCGATATTTTCTTTATTTGATTTTTAAGCTCCAGCCCAGTTCTGTCTGAAATGTATATTTATTTTTAGGTCCTAACATGGCCCGGACCTAAGTTTTTGATTTAAAAAAGTATATAAATTTAAACCCCATTTTTTTATGGAGATAAATGTAGTAAAAATTACTGATATAGCTTTTGTCCTTATCACAGAAAAATTGTAATTGTTCAAGAGAAAACATTTTTTTCTATATCATTTTGTAGAATTTTTTAACCTTGGCCTGATTAATTTTTAGGCCCGAACCGGCTTCAGGTTGTTTTTAGAGCTCTACTTCTGTTATATGTAGCGTTATATTCGTTTTTTAATACAATTTATTGAGATGATGTGAAGTGACTTCCTCCAAAGTCCTTGGTGTAAATTTATAAAAATAAAGTGAGACCAGGTCGTTGAAAACCAACTTATTTACGGATATTTTCTATTTATCATCTATTATGTATACCATCAATTTATAAAAAAAAATTATGAATGTAAATTAGAAAATAAATGATGAAATTTGACAAAAAATAAAGAAGAGAATCGCCGCGAATTCGCGGCGAAGTGTACTAAATATGATATTAATATAATAATTTTGAATTAATTTTTGTATATTTCGCCGCGAATTCGCCTTAACTGCGAATGCAGGGTTAAGCTAATAGTTTAACTGAAACACAAGTTTTTTGCAAAATATATTTCGTTCTACTGCCCAACTTTGAGTATAGTCCATTAGAGGCTCTGCGAGAACAGGGTCGGCCTGTCTTCGAGGTAGCTGGACCGACTCGGACCTCTTAAATTCCGGGCCGGGTAAGTTTTATTCACACCGGACTCATCTCATCTCATTAGAGGTATGCAAATTTCCAAAATGTTAAAATCTGACCCGTTAAAATTTGTGCCAGGCCAGCCCGGTTTTCTAAAATCCACAAATGTATCCTATGGGAAAATGACCAATAATGATGAGAATATAGGTTTCACGATTTTCTTATTAAAGCAAAAAACACAAAATGTAGGAAAAAGGAAATCGTTTTATATGAATGAATCATAGTAGCAGTTCTTTAAATAAAAAAAAGATAATATTTTAATTAGGCTCTAGAAATGATTTTATTTCTATCCTCTATTAAGCACGCAGGGCATCTCGCCCGCCCTCTCCGTTTATTTATTTTTCCCATGCTCAAAAAAAAATTTCAGACGTTACCTGCCCAGACTATTCTTCTCAAATTAAATCAAGGATTTTTTAAAAAAATTAATTAAATTTATAAAGGTATATATTATAAATTGATTTTTTATATTTCCAGCCCGAAAATTCGGAATATTTGATTCAAAAAGGCAAATTGCTCAATACTTTTGGAACTCTTTTGATCTTATCGTGGAGCAAGTTTCTCATTATTTTTTTTCAAAACAATGTTTTGTTAATATTTACGATACGTGTGATACGAGATAAGGCACCTCTCCCTCTAATGGTCGTAGATAGAACAGAACGCTAGATAATTATACTATCTATCAAACTGAAAATTAAGTAAAAGGGAAGGAGGAGCCATTTATCTGTTGATGGATAGGCCGCACGTACCTGTACGCATAACAGTTCGAAGACTGCCATTTAAGCATCTGTAGGCGGAGATAGAAAGAGTTGGGGAAAGAAGAAGCTTATTTCCGAGAATTGCACATATATTAAATTACTTTAATGAGGGCAAAGGAATAGCTGATTTTAATATCTATGTTAAATAAGTCAATCCTGCTTGTGTTTAATAGTATGAATAAATTGAAAATCTTTTTGTCAAGTTTAAGATATCTAAAACATATATATAATTAAATAATTGATAACTTTTGTCCTCTTATCTCATCTTCTAGTGTTTACATAAAGTTAATCCTGTTTTTCTTTTGAATTTACAATTCATTTTTTTTTTCACCGGAAAAACTGAGGATTTTTTAAAATCATTTTAAAAATAAAAATATTGCATTTTCTTTAATAATATTTGATATAATTATATGAATTGACCCTCAACAATATTAATCCCTTTGTTGTCGGATGAAAAACTTAATTGTATAAAAGATAATATTTTTTAATGTCTATATCACAAATCCCTTAAAAGTAACAATTTAACTGTTTGATTTTATCCTCTATTGTTTGATAAAAAAATTTTTAAGTACCTAATCCCATCTCAATAAAGTCATTTAAATCAATCTCGAAACTGTTCTACCTTTATTAATATAGTGATACTACCATTTAAAGTTTTCGTAAATACCATTTTCAGATCATAAAAATTTTCCTCTCCCCTCCCTCTTTCCGCCTCATTCTCAGAGCCCTCATTTCATCATTGAAATTTCAAGGGTTACTTTATTAGTCAACATAGATAATCAGTATCTATTTTATAAATATTTAAAATAATTTTTAATCATCATGGAGAATGAGGTCTCAGCGTCATTGGATTGGGGAAGGGGGTTTGTAAGTGGGGTTCTAGTCTGACAATTTTTATCGAAAATGAATATAAGATGTTATTTTTAAACTATATATTTTTTTTAAATAAATAAGTAGTAAAAAGTTATTAATTTTTTTTAGAAATGGTGACTAATAATTTGAAATTTTTAGGAAAAAAGGCAGTTAAAATAAGTGTAAAAAAACCAATATTATTTTTAATGAATTTAACACTACCTAAGCTCTTCAAAAAGTGCGCCCAAAGTCCATCCATTATAATACATAGAGGGAACATCCAAAATCTCAGTTTATATATAAAAATTTATATATATTATTCGATTTCTTCCATTCTTCATTTTTACAAAATATTTAAATTTCCATGATGATTGCTTTCGAATTTTAATGTGAAGCCAATGATGTACTAGATTTGGCGATTCAATTATTAAAAGTGTTCATACATAAGAGTCAGCTATAGCTCCATTTTGTGGTTTGCACATCTACTAATTTTATTTATTTATCATTATATGAGTGCACATCAATGCCATATAATTAACGTGCAAACCATAAGATGTCGCTAGAGCTGACTCATATGTATAGACACTTTTAAATGCATTTAATGAACAAATCGCCAAGGCCCAGATACATAAGCCGGGCCTGAAATTTCCGTATATTTGGAAACCAAATATTTGAAATTGCCATTATTATAGCTATAAAAATCAAAAATAAATAAAATATATTTTAAAAAAATCCGGGCCGGGCCGGGCCATACAAATGGTATCTCTGCAGTGTTATACATCATTGTACGAGGCTTGTAGTCTTAATTTATTTTCTCGCTAAATGCACTATTTCCACAACATTATTTAAAAAAAAATTAAGCAAATATAGAGGAAAAGAATTAACATCGCTTTTTTTTTATTATTAACAGTTGGTTTTATGCCGTTTATTATATAATAGTAAAATGTTTGGCATTCAATAAACTGTAATGATGGAGCCTAACATTTTTTTTAACTTGTAAATCAAAATTTTTTTCTCCTTAGAAATTCATGGCATTAAGGAGGCGAAAATTTTAAGGGCGTATCATTATTTTGAATATACATCCATGATATTTATATTCGCCGTAAATTATATGTATGCCAGATTATTCAAATTACGTGACGCTAACAATGCTAATTTTATATTGACCTCATCTATACTACCCAAAGTCGATACCATGATAAGATTCATGAACATTCCCCATACACCCGTGAGTTTAAGCGTCCTCGATTTTGCCAACGAATATTTGGGCGTAGTCGTGAAGCAATGCCGATCCATAAATTTTCAATACGATTTTGAACCTCACCTACAAGTTTGCATAAATTTTTTTTTTTTATTTGAGCCTAATTGTAGGCGCCATGTTTTTCGGGAATCCGTGATCTGAGTTTCTATTATATTTTTACATTTTTTTTCAAGCACGTTGATCAGGCTGTTTTTTAGCCATTCAATATCGATATTATATATTGTAGGTGGTCTAACAAATCTCTCAAGCTTTTAGAATAGCGCTAGGAAAATAAATTTTTTCCGCCCATGGTTTTTTAATATTAAAAGCCTTGACTTGGCCAAAATCGTGTTTTGGCATGCATATAGCGTATCTTACCTAAGATAATTCAATGACATTAAAGAAAGAAAGACTAAACTGATTAATCCAGCTTTAAATGTCACGTTAAATGGAAGATCAGTTGGGATAATAAAAATATTAATAATAAAAAATCCAAAATCCTACCTTCAGCCTCATCGTGGCGGGGGAGTGGCAACGTCTTTTAGCGGCAAATGGAGGTCTAAAAGGTTCCCTGTGATCTGGGTCTAGAATAGGATCACCGTCTCCTCGACGGGGTGTAAAAACCACTTAAAGAGGTTGATGTCAGGAAGGGCATCCGATTGTAAAAACCATGCTACAAAAATTTCCCTATGGTTACAACAAAGCATGGGCGGGGTACAGCCCAAAGTACCCCGTGGGCCTCCTCATCCGCCTACGACAAAAAGAAGGATGGGAAACCTGGTGGAACCACTATTCATGAAAATGAAACGTATGACGGCCATAAACGACCTGATAAAAAGTGGAGAAACCAGTTTACGGGTGATCGAGTTAGGGTCGCGACATGGAATGTTGGGAGTATGACTGGAAGAGCGGGAGAAGTCGTCGATGTATTGCACAGAAGACATATAGATATGTGCTGCATACAGGAGACTAGATGGAAAGGAAATGGGACCAGAATGATTGGCAAGACTAGCGAAAAGTATAAATTCTTTTGGCAAGGAGGTAATGATGGTAAGGCTGGAGTTGGGGTATTGGTTGCGGAGAAATTGGTAGACAAAGTAGTCGAAGTGAGAAGGCTAGACAACCAGATAATGGTTATCAAGATGATTATTGGTAGAAAGCTATATAATATGATCTCGGCATATGTTCCTCAGGTTGGAAGAAGTGAAGAAGAGAAAGATGTATTTTGGGACAGTCTATTGGGGGTGACATCGAGACTGGCAAATGAAGAGGGGATTATCCTGGCTGGCGATCTGAATGGACATGTGGGAGCGAGTAGTGAGGGTTATGAAGGAGTACATGGAGGGTTCAGTTACGGCATGAGAAATTTGAAAGGAGAGAGGATTTTAGAATTTAGTGATGCTATGGATATGATTGTTTGTAATACAATGTTTAAGAAAGAATCAGAGAAGCTGGTGACTTATAAGTCGGGTAGTACCAAAAGTGTTGTGGATTACTTGTTATTAAGGAGATGTGATCGATGTATAATAAAAAATGTGAAAGTGATACTGGGAGAGGAATGTATAAATCAGCATCGACTAGTTGTAGGAGATCTCACTCTTAAAGGTGCCAGGGTCACTAAAAGAAAGTTTGTCCCAAGGCTGAAGGTTTGGAAATTGAAGGAGGAGAATGCTAGACGTCAATTCAATATGGCATTGGCGATTAGGGAGGCGGAGGTGGCACAAGCATCTGGGGTGAATGACAAGTGGGAAGCCATGAAGAAAGCTTGGGTAATGACAACTGAGGAGGTATGTGGATGGACAAAAGGGCCGCCTAGACATAAGGAGACTTGGTGGTGGAGCCCAGAGGTAGCGAAAGCCGTGGATGAGAAACGGAGTTTCAAAGTATGGTATAATAGCAAAGAAAATAGTGATAATGATATTTACAAGATGGCTAAAAGAAATGCTAAGAAATTAATAGCGAAGGCTCAAGAAGAAAAAAGACACGAGTTTGCTAAAGAAATGAAATGCTCTGATGGAATTGGAAATATGGTTAGAATGGCAAAACAGATGTCAAAAAAGAGGCAGGATGTGATAGGTGTAAAGTGTTTGAAAAATATGGAAGGAAAAATGACGATTGATAGTAGTGGTATTAAGAACACCTGGAAGATTTACATGAAAGGACTTTTGAATGAAGAAAATGAATGGAATAATAATATTAGTTGTGCAAAGGTAGAAGGTCCAGGGTGTAAATTTGGCAAGGACGAGATAAGGAGAGCAGTGAAAAAGATGAAGAAAGGGAAGGCATCGGGTTTAACGATGGTGGTATCAGAGATGTTTAAAGGTTCTGATGATTTAGGGATTGAATGGTTAATGAATTTAGCAAATCAGATTGTCACAAAAGGTACTATTCCCGAGGACTGGCGAAGAAGTATAATTATCCCAGTATACAAGGGGAAAGGTGATCCTTTAGATTGTGGGTCTTACAGAGCTATTAAACTCTTGGAACATGCAATGAAAGTATTTGAGAGAGTGTTAGAAAAGCGGATAAGGGAACAAATCAAAATTGATGAAATGCAGTTTGGTTTTACATCGGGAAAAGGCACGACAGATGCAATTTTTGTGGTGAGACAAATTCAGGAGAAGTATCTTGCGAAGGAAAAGAAACTCTATTATGCGTTTGTTGATTTGGAGAAAGCATTTGATAGGGTGCCGCGTGAGATTACAAGATGGGCCTTGAGAAAATCCGGTGTGGAGGAATGGTTAGTTACCGCAGTGATGGCAATGTATGTTGAAGCACAAACAGCAGTACGGACGGATTATGGTGATAGTGACAGCTTTGAGGTGAAGGTAGGACTTCATCAAGGATACGTGCTGAGTCCATTATTATTTATCTTAGTAATGGATGTGGTGGCTAGAGAAATGCGTGAAGGACTTCCCTGGGAGATATTATATGCAGATGACCTTGTATTAATGGCAAACAGTGAGGGAGAATTGAGGGATAAGTTAGTAAATGGAAGATGACTATGGAAGCAAAGGGCCTGAAAATGAATGCATCAAAAACAAAGGTGATGATTGGTGGGGAAAATCTAAAGATAGAAGAATCAGGTAAGTGGCCTTGTGGTGTATGTGGGAAAGGAGTTGCTAGAAATTCTATCCAATGCACCAGATGCCAGAAATGGGTACATAAAAGATGTAGTGGGAAAAAAGGTAGTTTGATGTTAGAAAAAATGACCTTTATTTGTAAAACATGCATGAAAGGGATACATAATAATGATAACCTAAAAAATGGTGGTCTGGATATTGGCAATGGGTTAACCCTAGAAAAAGTGGATAAGTTTTGTTATTTAGGTGATATGCTAAACGCAGATGGTGGTGTAGATTCTGCTGTTGTTGCAAGGATCAGACAAGCTTGGAAGAAGTTCAGAGAGATGTCGTCTATTCTTACAAATAAAAAAGTTTCTCTGAAGTTAAAGGGGAAAGTTTACGTAAGCTGCGTGAGGAGTTGTTTAGTTTATGGCGGTGAAACATGGGCAATGAAAGCAATTCACGAAGCCAAATTAGAAAGAACAGAGATGAGGATGGTTAGATGGATGTGTGGGGTATCTATGAGAGAGAGAAAAACTAGCAAGGAATTGCGAGCAAGATTAGGTATAGAAATGATTGGTATGGTAATGCGACGAAATATACTAAGATGGTTTGGGCATGTGGAACGTATGACAAGAGATGACTGGGTAAAGAGATGCACAATGATGGAAGTAGGAGGATCAAGACCTAGAGGAAGACCCAAGATGACGTGGACAAATGTGATAGCGGCGGATATGAGAAGCTTGAATCTTACAAGTATTGATGCTCAGGACCGTCAAAAATGGAAAAGAAAAATCAGAGGGAAAACTGGCCTACCCGGGTAAACCTGGAAATCGCCATAAAACGGAGAAGAAGAAGAAGGAGATATAAATAGTGAAATAATAAGAGAATGGTTTAAGAATTATAAAAAGATGCCACATGAATTTTTTTTTTTAATTGGAAATAGATTAAAATCAAATTTTAAAGTGTTTTCTCAAAATAAAAAAAAATATTTAATGATACTTTGAAGAAGACTTTCGAGAATACTCTAGAGTTTTAAAACCTCTTCATTTGAGTTGATTTTTAAAAATGGCTAACTAACTATTTTATCCAGAAAAATATTACGTAAGCCGAAGATATTGCTCTCTATTAGGGAAATCTCGAGACTCAGGCAATATTTTTTTGGTAACAATATTGAGTTAGCCGTTTTTAAAAATCGGTTCAAATGGAGCGATTTTGCATCACTACACAAGGATTTTTTAAATAAAATTTCTCCTGAAATTCAAAAAAATTTTTATGAATAAAAAAAAATATTTGTAAGTATTTAATTTATTATTTCGAATAATATTAATTTACGATGTTGTAAATATATTAAAAAAATTTTTTATAAATAAATGTATATTTTTAAGTAAAATAAAATATATAAAGTTGATAAAAAAACATTACACTCACTAATCATCAATTATATGACAAACTTTTTCTTTTAATAACAAAAGCAATTCTTCCTTATACTAGTCAACAAAATCATGATCCCAGACGAATACGAAAATGATATGAAGGTTTTTGAAAATTTATTTAGAATTTTTTTTATAAAAATAAATATCATAAATTATACCTAGTGGACGTGTTATATTCTATTTGATCAATCTATTGCTGCAAAAACCTTTTTTTGCAGGAATAAACTTTGTTTTTTTTTCTGTTTTATAATTATTTAATAAATCCTTATAAAAATTAAATTTTGATTGCAAATTCTTTCAATATCACAATCATCTTATTTAATATAATTGCCAATATTTTGTTGGAAATTTTTCATTACTGTGATCTTTTTAAATCTTGCTCATTTTGATAAATTTGAGTTTATTTAAAAAAAAATTAACCTTTTTACTTTTTTCCCAGGAAATTAATTTTGAAATTTTCTAGTGTTTTGAAATTTCATTAAAATAATTTTTTAGCATGTTCTTTGCTCTATTTTTTTCGCCATTTTCTTACCTGTTTTTTTTTGCATTTGAAAAAAAAATACCTAGTTTCTTCTTTTTTTTATATTATAGATAAAACATTTCTTTCCTGTTTTTTACATTTAAAAAAAACCAGGTTTATTCGTTTTTTGTATATCCAAGATAAAACAAACCCGTTTTTACTAAAATAGTGAGATTTACCAAAGTATCTTTATATTATTTAATAAGATATTAAAAAGTTTTTTTGCTTCAGAATTTGTGTCTATTTTTATTGGTATTAAAAATAAAAATAAACGTACAATATATAGTTATTTTTTTTTATATCAGGAATCTGAATACAACGAATATAAATCGATCAGGAAGGAATTGAAGCCTTTTTTTGACAATCTTTCATCCGTCGTAAATAATTCCATATTTATCAATATTTATTTATTTATAGTTTTTTAATTTGAAATTAAATTCAAGAGTGTTTGTATTCTAACTTTTTCATTTTGTAGAGATATTCTGAATCACGAACCGGACTTATATATATAACGGTCACCTTTCTCTTAAATTGACTGTTATAATTTATAACGAATATCGGTTAGCCTCGTACCGGTTTCCTATCGTTTCGCTTTCCTGGATGGTATTAACATGATTGATTATATACCAATATTTTTTTAAGGATTACCTTGATCCATTTTAATTTCCCTTCTCCTCCCTCCTCACCATTTTTGAATACCCTTTTCTTCTTAAATAATGCGAGAATGTTTTTTAAATTTAAATAAAGCAAGTAGTAAGCCTTTGATTGGTCTAATTTCCGCCTAAATCGATTTTAATTTAATTTAATGATATTATTTTTAGTATTACTTGCCCTATTTTTTTTCTTTTGGAACGAGGCACCGTAGTTTAAATTAAAAGTATTTCACATTTAATAAGGCCCTGATATTACAAATTTCTAAATTTTTTTAAAATTATAAAAAATAAAATATCTTTTTAAAAATATTTCATCTTGATTTAACCAAAAACACGTATATAGGATGAGTTATATTTAAAAAAAAACAAGAATAGCTATATTTATATATGTTATACACAATTCCGTATAGGCTATTTACCTACACGGGTCGCCTTTATTGTGATTAATTTCTCTTGATACTGGTATCGTACATTAAATAAGATGAACCATAAACTTTTCGAAAACATCTTAATTCTTTTCCCCACTCAATTATTTCCATGTCAAATTCTATATCCGGTTTTCACCTTTTTTGAAAAAAAAAAAATATCCAAATATTTTATGATTTTTTAAAAATAAACATTTTTTTTAAAAAATCGCGCTTTTTCTCTAAAATTACAAAATATGGAGATTGCAGGTATTCGAATCCAGAAAATATTTTAGCAGCTCGGTTCAGATCTGGGTTGAGGATATAGAATTTTGAACTTAGTTTGGATTCTGCAAAATAAAAAGGTTGGGTTTCACAAATAATGTAAGCTAAACCGGGTCCACTGCTCTGTCTGAGTCTAGCTTAAACTTCCGGATAGAATACCATGACAATTAAACACAAATATTTATACGATATAAATATATTCGATATTTCAAGAGTTACAACCTTGTAATCAACGCGATAAAACAGTATTCGGCAAACGTGTTGCCAGAATGGTGGGTCCATTTGTTCAAGGAAGTTGAAATGGTTCTCACGCTCATCAATTTCCTAGCCGATTACTATAACGTAACATTTTGCTTTATATTCTTAATATTATATGTATTGACTGAAGTTCAGATTTATTCATTCTTTCTCCACTCACTCATTCACTTACTCCCTCACTTACTTTCATTATAAAAAATCAAAAAATAAATTAAAAATATTATATTGCATAAATAAAAAGTTATACAAAACTCAGCTCAACAATTGTGGTAACAATAACAAAATGAATAATAACTCGAATCATCGCGACGAAAACATGGGCAACCATCAAATAAAAGATCCTAAAGCTGTTCAAAATACTATGAATGAAATACTGGAAATCGTAATTCTTTTACTCTTTTTTTTTTAAAAAAGAAGAAAATTTACTATTTAATTTTTTATTTAAAATATATGATCTTAGCCATTAAGGATCGCATGGGTGTAATAAAAGTATTCTCATCTAAATTAGATTAAATTAATTATTTCCTAAAATATTTTATATCTAAGCAAAATTCTGCCCGGAGCTCCCTAAAATAAAAAAAATGACGTTGCAGCTCCTAAATGACAAAAACAAGTGACCCCCTCTAATCATAACCAATCGACGATAACATATTTTTCGCAATGATTTTGATTATCATTAATGAAATTAAACTTTATTACAATTTTTTTTTATATAATAAACTCAATTTATTAATTATACAAAGTTTTTGTCGAGTAACGTTTATCAACATCCCGCTTCCATCGTTCAAACTTTATACTTCGAGATTTTATCGAAATTCGAACGTTTGATAGCCAAAAATCCCAAATATATCAACCAAGTTTTAGTTGAGTAATTAACACGTACCATTTTAAATGACACGTGTTATAAAAAAATTTAAAACTATATTCTAAATTATTTTAAAAAAATATATAGAACGAAAATTCTTTATTTTTATTGAGTTTAATTATATAAAATCGTATGCCATTTGGTGAATTAGAATCTATATATAAATATGCAAATATAAATGCAAAATTTTTAAGAATAAGGCATTATTTAACTTATGTCCTATCTTTATATATTAGCAGCAAATAGTTAAATTTTATATTTATTATATCATATATCAATAATAGCTAGCATTTCAGAGTGAAAAGGGAATCAAGAGTCCCTCACCAAAGATCAGAAGCCGTTGCTTGCAAATTTTTTGTCGCTTCATCAAAAGTTTCAAGTAAATTTTATATTTTTTCTTATCAAAATATTCTTAATAGCCAGGTAACGGGTGTAAAATATGGATATACACGTGACTTAAAATGATGGATCGTTACGCAATTTATAATAAATTTAAAAAAAAAATTAGAATATGAAGTTGTTAATAATTGGTGTTGTTAACCCCGATTTGGGCCGAGTTCTATAAACGGCTAACTCAATATTTTGTCCAGAAATTATTATGCAAGCCTTAATATTTTTACTCATAGATGGCGCACAGGTTTGGACATCTATTAACTAAATTTCGAGTATTAGGCCATATTTTTTGGATATAATATTGAGTTAGCCGTTTTTAAAAATTAATGATTATATTTGAATGGCATAACGCACAAAAAAATAAATTTTTTATCTATAAATAGGCCTAATTTAAACGCTTCCGGAAATATGACTGTCAATAACTCTAATCTTTCCAACGAAATGTTAACTTTCATTCAGCAAATCCTGGAATGGGCGATTTGCAACGAATCATTGCTCAGCAAAGAAGACATGAACGCTCTTTACGAATCGTACTCCGTTCTCATCATATCCTCCAATTTGGATTTGAACGTTTATAAAAACAAATATATTTATTATTTATATATTGTAAATAACCCTTGATTATTTTAGGATAAATAATACGTAGCAATGCGTTTTTATAAAATATTTGTGAACTTAAATTATACATATTATATAATAAAATTATTGTATTTGGAATGGTGCACCTCAGAGGCTAAACACCCTTCACAAAACTGATTTCTTAGTTCGGAGTTTGTTCTTCTGAAGCTAACCTCGAGTAGGTTAGCAATAAGTTAAGGATTGAGATTGCAGTGATGCGAGTTTATAGAGATGAATGCCATTTAATAATTATGTACTAGTTGTAACTTATCAGGATATAATTACGTTTTGATCGAAATTAATTTAGGGTTAAAATCTTAGCCTGACTCTTAGCCAATTAGCAAAATTTACATTTAGGAATAAGTTTGCTAAAATACATTTCTAAATGTGTGTTTTTTAAATATCTTTATTATTTAATAGAGTCACTGGAAAGGGGGGGGGGCTGAAAAATTTTAAGAGCCCCCTCAAAATTTGAAATATTTTTTTTTAACCAAATGAAATATTGATAATGTTAGCTAAAAAAGGTTATTTTGAAAATAATCTAAAATTTTTTTGAAGTCCCTTAGGTTGTAAAGGCAAATGATGCCCCTGGTTATTATAATGTTAACCTGGTGGAATTGATAAAAGCGTACTTAGGAATAAGGTCAGGGATTTTTTAAAAAAATTCATTTTTATGAACGAAAAAAATGATAAAAAAGAAAGGTTGTTTTTTAGTTAAAAATATCAATAAACCTATGAAATATAATTCTAGGTACACACAACAATTATAACACCTTGTTTTTTTAGGCCAAGAAAGAAGCAATGGAAAAACTTTTGTTATCCCTGGTTACCAACTTTCAGAATACTTTTTCTCCGCTCCAGGATATTAACAAAACACAGACTATCAATTACCGATCGCTAAATTTTATCGTGACCCGTTTTGTCAAAATCATCAATTATATCATGTATTACATTTTAAATTTTAAGATGTTTGCACCATTTTATGATTAATTTGAATTTAAAATTAAGTAAGGAATAAGAAATTAATGCATATTAATTCTCCTTATTGATTCACCCTTAGGTAATAAATACAGTGCAACCTTTACCAATTAAAGATCATCAATGACGTAATAATACATGAATTGGCGCATTCATTTATTTAAATTGCTATTGACACGCTATTTTCGTAAAAAAAGATATTTAATATTTCATGAGAAATCATAATGCTGGGTCACAAGCTGATTTCTATTCAATGACGCTTTAAAATGCATTTTAATGAATGAATCATAAGTCAAGGTTAAGTAAAATATGTCATTTGAAGATCAGTGACGAAGCGTGAAGTTTACTACTATGGAAACAATTACAATACTTATTAACCAATTATAACAAAATCTTAAGATTTATGATTTTGAGATTGGCTCCCGGAATATTTCCCTAACCAAAGACACTTTCTTCTTTTTTAAAAAATAAATTTTATTATTTAAGTTAGGCTGGGTTCAAAATATCAAAAAATTTGATTCACAAACTTTTGAAATTTCATCGAAAAAGAAGAAATAGGCTATTTAAAAAAAAATAAAAACATGTCCAAAATATAATTCTAGAAAATTTTAAAAATTTAATATATGATTTATTTAAAATTTCAAGACTAAACTTTTCGAATTTTTTAAAAAGATTTTGGAAATAGCCATAAGAAGAATTAAAATCAATTAAACCATGACAAAAACAAACATTTTTATTTTCTGCATATTATAAATACAACTTGCATTCAATATAGTTTTCCTTTTTTTTAAAATTCACACACAACTTTTTCCATCTAAGGCTGAATATATAGTAAGGGCGTTATGTTCAAGCTTTGCGTTATTTAATGCTATTGAAATCACAGCTGATTCTTCATAGTGTTAATAATTTTTAAAATATAACATGTTTTTCAAATTTTATCATAACGTTATCATCATAACGCTCCATATTTATAAATTACGTTGCGCGAATAACGCACCGTTTGAAAATGACGCGTGTACTATAAACGAGGCCTAAGTCAGCATTTAAAAACGACGCTCCATTTAAAAAAAATGTACATGTCTTCTAAAAAAAATACTATATGACTAAATAAAAGGTGTATATAAAAATGTAGTAATAATATAAAATATATTTATTTTAAATGGTTATTAAAACCGGAAACCCAAAGAGATAATTTAACCGCCTGGCCGGATTTTAAAAAATTGATATTTTAAATTATTTTTGGCCAGACAAGTTTTTTAATTTTTAAACCCAGTCTCGAATTTATTAAGATTTTTTTAATTAAAAATAATTTTGGGTTTATTTAGTCAATCATTTTTAAAAGAAAAATTGATCGATAATTTAAACAGTGAATGAATGTTAAACGATCCATTTTTCAGGCTGATTAGTTTTATATATTAAAAAAATGGCCAAAGAATTTGTGAGCTTAATCTACCCTCGGTTCGGGATATGTTATTTTTAATCCAGGTCAGGGTTTTTTAAAATGCGCTCTGGGCTGGGTCAATTGGTTCGTTATTTCTAATGTTGTGGGTAAGATTGCTTTACCTTTGAATTGATGTATTTCGAATATCTCTCATTTCAGCATTGATACCTTTTATATCAGGAACATGGGTCTGAACCCCGGATCTGAATATTTTTGGATTAATTTTATATAGATTCCATATTTTAATTTTCGGACTTAAGAATATGTAAATTTCTGGTTAACATCAACGGCATGTCCTTAAAATTTAACAACTCTAAAGTATAATTGTTGAGCACAACTTAAAATTTAAAAGATAAAAGCTATAATCTAACACTCGATATTATATTTTTATAAATACAGAAGAACAACTAAAGCCTTTTCGAACCATAGCCCGATGAAGCAATCTAATTTGGAAAACGTTTACGCCTGTATTCTCGATACCTTACTTTCCTCCCTGGACTTTTTGGATCAAAACATATCGCGCGCGTGTTCCAACAACGAGAAACAAGAAGAAGAGAAAGGCATTCAATTGAGGTACGCGATGTACAGTGGCGTCAGGCAATACTTTCACGTTATGGTGGTAAGTTTAGTCCATATTTTTTTAAATATTTATAGCCAACTTTTTTTTATCGGAAAATATAATCCTTTAAATTTTTTGAATATAATTATAAAATAAGACTTCTATCTCGGCCAATCCAGTGTTGCTTTTATTATATAAAACTTATTATTAACTCTTTAAACAGCTTTTACGCAGATGCTTATGATCATTTTTTAGGTCAATAGGACATGCCATCATGACTCTACATACTTCTTTCTTTAAAGGCCACATATACGATCCAGATGGTTTAATAAATATTAGTTATATTTTTTATAATATATATTATCATAAATGACGTTTAATCCAGGTTTGCCTGGAGGAATCTATTATTATCCCGTATGTTACACCCGCTTTTGAAAAATTCATAAAATTTCGCGATTTCAAAAACGTTTCCGAGATTATACCGCTTTTGAATCAAGTTACCACAAAATTTAAGGTTTGAAGTTATTTAAAATAAATTAAATATTTATTTTGAGACGATATAAACTAAGATTCTAGGTGGAATGAAACAGCGGGAGGGTATTGAAAAATAAGGAAGAGGAAAATATTAATTTTTAAAAAAATCTATCTGACAGAAAAACGCTCCGTCGTTGATAAACGCACTATTCATGCCACTGGTAACCGTTATATTCGAGCTATTGAACAAACCATTAGACGCCGATTCTGATCCGCATGAAATAAGAGAACGATTAAGCCTGCAAAGGAGCTATTATTCCTTTTTAAGTCATTTGATTAACCAAAACAACATGGTCGGAGTCTTGGTCGATCAAGGTAAATAAAAGACACATACTTTATTATCTTCTTCATTGTTTAAACCCGTTTTTTAGGTTTACCCAGGTAAGCGAGTTTTCCCTCTGATCCCCTTTTTCCACTTTCTACGTTTTTATCCATTTCACTTTCTTGTCGTCGTTGGTCTTCCTCGAGGCTTTGATTTCATCTTTTGTATAACGTGTCCAAACCACTTCAGTTTTTTTTGTTGTGATCATAAGGGGATTTTTGAGCGATTATTTTTTTACGATAAAATGCCCTTCCTGATATCAAACTTTTAACCCCATCGAGAAAACGGTAGTCATATTCTATCCCAAACCTCAGGGAATATACCGGAAATTAATAATCAGCATCGAGCCACTCTTTATAAAGATATAATATTAAAAATAAATAAATATTCTAGCTATGGTAATAGACCATATAATTAGTAATTTGAATTAGGAGAACGTGGTGCCTTAAGGTTCGCTTAATAATTACGAACCTGGGTTATCTATTTTCATATGCCTTTAATGAAGATCTGATTATTAATCTATGTGAAACCGAATTTCGTTATCTAAATAACATCCAAATTTAATAGTTTGTGTTTGTAGGTAACCATATTTTTTTAAGCATGCTTTCTAGCTTTTCTAAATATTCAGTCTCTTCTCTGAAAAATAATCGCACATTTTTTTTGTTCATTTGCATTACACCAATAACAGACAATCAATTCGTTTATAGCTTGATCACATTCTGCCCCCACCCCCATTTTTCATATAGATAAAAATTATAGACTGTCCCAAGCCTCGGAGCCCATTAATAAATATTAAAAAAATTCGGCTCTATCTTAGTATAGTTAGGCGGATATCTATTTTTATCCGGTAAAAACACGGCTACACCAAGTTTTTTGCCGAAAACTATCTGCTCAGCTTCTTATTATTTTTTGAATTTTATAGCACAACTTTGAGGAATGCGTAAATAAATTAATTCGCGTCTCTTTGATTGTTGATTTTCAGCCATTATCCAAACTATACGAAAAGTGGACATATTAAAAAAAGGAATACGAACCGAATAATATATTATCCGCGACTCCTCTGAATCATACCAATCGAATATGAATAGGAAATTAATCGGTTCATTAAAAAAATCGAATACTAATATAGTATGTTATTCGATTCCCATTCCTTTTTGAGTCAGCCTACTTAAAAGTTTAAAAAAAATAAAGCAATAAATTGGAATATTCCGTGAGATTAGGAACAAAGTAATGTTTAATCTTTATTTTTTGACTTTATTTAAATATACGTTTAATTATTTATTTTTTTAATTAAAAATTTTGGTCCGTGCCTGGAAAAATCAAAAGAAAAGAATTGATTATGGCTAAGCTAGGCCTCAAAAATATTGAATTTGAATTTTTATTATAATATATATATTTTTTCTTTTAATTTAATATTCTAAAGGAGAACAAAACATGAAGCTTATTATCGAATCCATTATACAAGGAGTTATTGAATGCCAAGATCCTATAGTAAAATAAAAGTGGGTAGAATAAAGGGGCCTGACTATAAAAGATATTTACTAATGCAGGGTTTGAGACCTCCAAAACCGAGTTTAGGTACAGAACCAGGCACGGCACCCTTTTTCCCCGAACCAATGCCGAACCTGGATCCCGTAATATTTAGCTTTATAAACCTGGACCTAACCCGATTTTTCCCCCGGAACCGCGTTTACTATTTTTACAAAAAAACTTATATGATCTTTAGCTTGGGTAATTTACTAATTTCAATTTTACCCAAATAAAGCCTACCTAAGTTAGGTCTCCCTGGACCGGCCTAGATCAAACCGCATTTTTTTGGACTCTGGATCTGTAGCAAACTCGCCAAAAATTTTCATAGAGTCCCGAACCCTGTATTAATCTATTCCTAATCATCTACGCCACATCAGCAGATGAAAATAATAATAGGTCACGTGTCCTTTCATTTTACCCGTTAGTATAATTCAAATAAAATTTAATTTGTCAATTTTAGCTGATACGTATATACATTTAAAACGCGTTATGATTTAAACTAGTGTTGTTGAAAACCTCCATTTTACCGATTTTTAAAAAAGGTTAAATCAAAATTTTAACCATAACAATATCATAAACTTCGAGATTTCGCAAAATCGAGGCTTTTATTTCTAGAATCATTAGTTTAAAGCGTATAATGCTTGCCATGGCTGTTTACTTATTCAATATAAGTGAATATTTTTGATTTATAAAAAAATGGTTGATTTTTACGTTTAAAAAAAAATTGATGTTAGGCTTAAGTAAAATTAAAAGTTTTAGCCCTGATTTAAGTTAAAAAATATATTAGTTTTTATTTAATTGTGGGCGGAACATCATAAAGTTAGGACTTGAAATATAGGAGTATACAAAAACCTCCCACTATGACCCATGCCTTTCTACCCAAGCGTAAGACCCAAAATCCTTATTGGGACAGGGGGAGGAGGGGTTAGGTCGAGGTATGGTTTTGAAAATTTGGATTTAGATTTCCTTTTTTTGCTAAGTTTTGATTTAGAGGTTTTGGATGGTGGTAGGGGGGTCAAATTATCAAATGCTTAGGGGTTAGGTCTAGAAGTACCTGTGATGACCACCTCGAACATAATTATTATCTTGATAAGGTGACCGTTCTTTTTTCTATAGCCAAAAACATCTGTATTACTGAGTAAGTCAGATTTTTAAAGTCCTTATTTTTATTAATATATTAAATCATTTATTAAAATGTCATTTTATTTCAAAGGTTCAAAAAAGCTGTTTTATGCTCCTCAGGAAATGGGTGGACTTATGGAGTAATTATCGCTTAATTATTTATAAATTCCAAAAAATATAACCTTAATTTAATCATTTGAGTTATAGTCTAAATTTAAGCAGAACTTTATTTTCATATTTCTAGGAAAGACATATACTACATTGGGGGGGGGCAAAGCTCTACCAAAACTTGGGGTTCTAATTATTCTTTTATAATTTTAATTTAATTGAACGCGTTTCTCCTATAATTTTGCATGTTGGTTTATGGGTTCAACCCCCCCCCCCTCCCCCCTCCACCCCCCCCCCCTATGTAAATTTTTATGCTTAAAATTTAAAAAACAACTATTTTATTATTTTTGTATTTTTTAAATAAATTATAAACTATCTTGCAAAAAACTTGTCTAGTTTATCATATTCCTTTAAAAAAAATTAATTACTTTATCAATTTCATTATGAAGCAACAATTATTAATTTATTCCTATTTCAACAAATGATAAGCTCAGATACACAAGTCTATTTGACTACCTTTTTATGCAGTTATTAAATATAAAAGTATCAAAGCTACAACCACATCAAGACCCATATTTTAAAAGATGATAGGGTTTTTCTAATGATAATAAAATTATTTTAGCCATTTCGTTTATTTAATTTTTTTAAAATTGCTTTTATGCTTCTAGAATCTTCGTTCTATCTTGAATCTTGGTAACATTTTTAGTAATTTTGCTAATACCCTTTTGATTTATACTGTTCATAAAGTAGAGATTAAACTAAAATGTATTCTTTAAGCCTTACTTATTAGTCTAAACTTTAGAATCAGTACTTTCAAAAGTTTAGCAAACTTCATGCTTAGAACTGCGTCTTAATATCTGAATATATCAAATTTTTGAAAATATTTTTAAAATTTAATGAGATTTTTGAAAATATATTTAAAATTTAATAAGATTTAATTACTTCTATATATATTAAAATTAAAAGAAAAGGTACATTTATGAAAGATCATAGAATCATAAGATTCAAAAATATCCTGAATCGAATCGTGGAAAGAGAACCTTGATGTATTCAGACAAAATTGATTTTTGATAATTTAAAATTCGTTATTTAAAATTTAGCCTAAGATTTGCCATAATTTTTATTTCGCTTATGACTGATTTTTATTTATTTTCTGAAAAAATCTGATGAATGAACTAGTATGTACTAATCAAGCGTTACATATTGTTCATTGCTTCTATAATTTCCCTTCTATCATGATGCCAATTTTAGCGATTTTTTTTTATTTTGCCAAAAATGTGTTTTTTAAACTATCTGACAAAAGGGTTGAAGCAATAAATAAGTATGAAATACGCACTAATTAGACATAAATTTCCAAGATAATTGCTTCTAGATGTTTGGCTAACTTTACGCTTAAGAAATGATATCATAGTTAGTTTTTGGTTCATAATTTGGTTACTTTTTTAATGGCTGGTGAAAGATTAAAGAATTAATAAGGTATTAAATATTAACGCAAATTAGATAGTTAGAACTTCTCTATTCTCCTTTCTGGCTAGACTAGTTTTGACAATGTTTTATTTTTTACCAATAATTATTTTCCTCTTTAAACCAATCAACAAAGAGAATAAAGTAATAAAATATACTAATAAAGGCCTACTTAATGGTTTAGTATAAGTTTTAGAATTAGTGTTTCCAAAAGCTTGGCTCACTTCACGCTTAGAACGTGAAGTCCATAGTATTCATTTTGTTTATGACTCAGTTTCGCTTTGTTGTACTTATATTTGAGCGAGTAATTGAAAGTACCAGACAGGCCAAAATATTAGGGCACCAGATATATAATTTTTTATATTTCCCATTTTAGCACGATATCTTTTTATTAATTTTCTTTTTTCTTTATACTATCTACCAAGTGGATTAAATTAATATATAATTATGATCCAAACATTGATAAAATATACTGAATAAATACCTTCACTCATTTTTTAATCTTAAGGTTGCCAAAATCTTGTTACTAATAATTTTTTCCTTTATACTGGTTAAAATCAGACACTAATAAAACTCAAAACATTGCCATATTTTAGAATTAGGGCTTGTTCGCCCTTTAACGGAGATTATATAAAGACCACCGAAAAATCAATAATATATAACACTTTTTTTATAGTGACCGGATAAAACGGGTTTGGCGCGGGGCTGTTAACACCTTCCCCTTATTGTAAAATCCTGGCTACGCCACTGAGTTGAGCTATTATCTTTAACTCTTTAAAAAAATTTACTTTTATGCTAGGAATGTACTGATATTTTTTATCGGATCGGGCCTATATTTATTCATTTTAAATTATCGGTTATCGGCCAATATTATAAAATTTTCCGACCCGATAAAAATGGCTCTATCAAACCATTTATTTTTATAAATAAAATTGAAATCCATTTATATTGTTATTTTTTTTTTCGCATTCTGTTTATAAAAGTGTGCGATAATATATTTAAAAATAATCTTTAGTTTTATTTAATATTTGACCTCTGATTAATTGTAAATTTTGATATTTTTAAAAAGAAATCTTCGATATATTATTTAAACATTTATTTCATAATATATTTGTTTATTACTTATTATGTAAATAAATTAATGTTACTTATATAAATAAGGGATTTATCAATAAAAATATTTTATATACTTTTAGAATTGCAATTGAATTCTATAACATAATTTTTTAAAATTATAGATGTTATACAAATAAAAAGTATATTAAAAATTAAAACAATTGGTATCTTTACAACAAAATTAGATATGATGTCGGATCGGATCGGCCTCTAAAAAGTGGTATCGGTACATCCCTAGCTAGGACCTCTAAGTTCATATAAATGGCTCCCAAATTCTCATATACGAGGTAGGAACTTTTACCCACTTTTATTTATTTATCTCGATATTTTATAATCTAGCATATGAATTTTGTCTTATTTGGATAAATACTCTTTTAGAAGTGCAATTTAAGCTTCAGATCTCCTCTATTAAATAATTAATTATTTTTTTAAAAAGTGAATTCCTCAGATCCTTCCAATTCAAAGCCGAGCACAAACAATTTAAATTTAGATTCTATAAGCTTTTCCCGATTCGTTTATTCGACCATATTTCCCGCCTGTTTTTCTGCGCCTTTAAAAATGTCTTTCGATTTAAAGGATGCTCAAACAATACAGGTTTTAAAATACTATCTTCCAAACAATTTAACCTGTGATTTTGGGATAAATTATGTTGATAAAAATTATTTACAGTTATAAACATGTATCTCTATTCTCTTAGTCTTCAGTAATCTTGATAATTTCTACAAATGGATTTTAACAGAGTTAATCTAGATACAGATAAATCGTCTAAAATTGTATCGGTATAGATACATTTGTTATAAATGTATTTGTTACGCCTTTTATGTTTTAGATTCTAGGTCGAATTTATTAAAGCGAGTTTTTACTCTAAATTAATTTATTAAGATATAAATTTTGAACCAACGCCTCTACGGTTTGTCAAGAGACCGAATTTTTAAATATCTTGAAAGCTGGAAAATTCATTAATTACTTGTAAGGATTTGATATTTCAGAGATTTACAATTTTTTTCTTTAATATAATTATGTCATAATAAATACATAAAATGCTAATTAATATATATTTTTACAGGCTCTAAATGAGTGCGCTTTGTGTTTTCAATTGATACATCGTAAAGGGGTAACCAATATATTATATTTTAACTGAATTTAAATTTTTCAAATAAATACGTTTTTTTTAAAAAAGCTTTCTTTTTACCAATGCTGAAAACTTTGAGCCCCATATTCAAAAAAATTTGTTTTTTTAATTTAAATGTAAGGAATCCCTTTTTTTACGACAAAGACTTGCTACCGCGATTATTCACTCTAACTATCTAAGTTTATCTCTTCTATCGTACAATCTTCCATGCCTCTTTATACTTTTCATCTCTACTATTTTTTTTTAAACATCCGCTTTTTAAAATTCCTTATCCTTTTTCCTATTTTTATTTTTATCGCCTTCATTAATTTTATCTTAAAAGAAATTATATGCCATTACCTTTTCATAATATATTATAATAGCTATTATTCATATAAAGAAACAGAATAGTTAAAAAAAAATAATTATGAATTCAAAGATTTTTCGAATTTACAAAATTGTTTTCTTAAGGTTCTGTCCTAAATATCATAAATATAAATAAATAAAATTATTAATTTTGAAGAAAAAAATACATAAGCTACTTTTACTGTAAAAATGTGTTCTAAATCTTTTTTTTCATTTACAAAAAATTTTTTTTTTTAAATAATAGATATAAATAAATTTAAATAAAATTTTTCTTAAAATTTATAAATTTATGTAATATTTATGAATAAACCAGCATATTAAAATATTTGGTAGCATTGTTATTTTTCATATTTTAACTTCGTTTTTCTTTATTTTAATTTTTACAAAACTTTAAGAATAAATTAGGAAGATTTCGGAAATGTTCATAATTTTTTAATTTAGCCAAAATTTATAAATTTTGAGGTTTTTTTCAATATATTTAGGACACAGCCTAATTTAAGGCGTTGATTGTACTAAGCTTTAAAAATATTTTCTGGTCCGAAGCATTACTATTACATTCTCAACAAGGATTTGCCTCAAATATAAATTTAGATAAGACCAAGTTAAATTTAAGTGTGATTGACTATTGTTTCTAAACTCAAATAAAATATAACTATTTATGAATGTTAAATATAATATATTTTTTTTAAAACACAACGAAAAATATTTACTTTTTAAGAGTTCCGAATTTGAAAATGTATTGGTCAATCAGATATTTCCATCTATGAATATAACCAATCCCACTATTCAACAAGTGATATTATTTTTTCACTAATAATTGCGTATTCGCATTAAAATTTCAAGACATTTGTTATTATCGCTCACAATTAAAATCAAACAAGAAATTAGAGCAAAAAAGAATGAAAGAGATAATAAAATCAGTTAGAGAGAAATAGCAAGATAGATTTAGATTAATTTTTTGTAATATGATCAGTTGTAAAAGATACTTTTAAAATGGATCTAGATACAGACACAATTTTTATCATACGTTCGCTATTGTTCTCGAATAAAAACTTTTATTATGAGAGGACAAAATACGTAAACAAAATATTTTTTTTATTTTGTTCTCATTTAAAAAAATATCAATACCTCTATTGTTATCGTTTTTAGAACAAATTCTCATTTAAAACGAGCAATTTATTAAAAAAATTTTTTTGTATATTAAACTTTATATTTATTCATTAAAAATTAGCGGAATATCTATACAATTATTTAAAAAAATTCTATCAAAATTTATTTGTTCAAGATAATTTTGTGCTTCATTGGTATTGTTTTTAATATCTAATGGGCGTCATGGCTAAGCAAAGATTTATATTTTCCTTTACATTATAAAAATGTCCTTCTTTCATAATCTTGAACTGATATCTATATATTCAAACGGGGAAAAAATAATATTTTTTATTATATTAGTCTAAATATATTTTAATATATATTTATTTAAACTATATACTCATATAAGATAAAATGAATTGCATTCAAATTTTTATATTTTTATGATAAAAAGCGGTAATCAAAATGCATTTTAAAAGGCATCAAAAACAGATATCGATACCTCTAAAATAATATCTAGATACAGATACTTTTTGTGAAAGTGTATCTAGGTACAGATACGCCATATATGTATAGGTACTTTAACAACTCCGAACCTTTAAAAGGAGCCCAATATTTCTCTTTTTTTTTGTAAAATGGCGTGTTTTCGCTATCGCTATTTTATTTTAAACGTTTAAAACGAGTTATATCGCTACCAAATTTGTAGTTAAAATACCACTATTATCATCTTATTAACATATCTGTAAATTGGCAGACCAACTAATATTATCTATAACCATTTTTTTATATCGAGAAGCAATTCGTTACCGCTTTACGTTCCGATATCAAAAGCTTCAAAACTTTTTTAAAAGTAATATAATATTATTAATATAGCAAATCCCTCATGTATAATTTTTTTTTTTACTAAATAGGAATTCTACAGCAATGCCAAATCAATTCAATTCTAAACACGAGTGACAAAAGACATAATTTTTATTGGCTCAGTTTAGTCATTCCATTCCCAGGATATAAGATTCAAATTTAGCCCTTCTTCGAAAGAACCAAATTATTTACAATTATACTCATTTGCATACGAAAATATTAGTATTCGAATTTTTTTTATCATACATACGACGATGATAACATTTGTTATTCATACGGATATAATTTTAAACCTGACAATTTATTATTATTTTTTACATATTGATTTTTTATTTCATTTTACTTTATAAAATTTATTATATAATATTATTTTATAATATTAATTTGAATAAAAAATAACAAGAGGTCAAGCGATATTAGATATTTATAATATAATATATTATAAATAATAAAAGTAAGAATTAAATAAGTTAAGATAAAATGTTTACTTATGCTATATTTGAATAACGTAACAGAAAAATTGTTATAGACATAAATTTATCTAGGGTTTATTTTTAGTTATTTTGAATTTATTAATGCACATTCTCTTAAAAAAATAGACTATTAAAATGGCGTTTTTGCAATTTTAAAAGGTTATATTTTAGTTATAAGAATAGAAAACCAAAAGAGCTCGCATATGTTTTTGGTTTTATATATTAAAACATTCCATATCCTTGATTCTAATTTTAATAAAAATAACACCAGACTATACTCAGGGGCGTCGCTAGCCTTCACAATCTCAGGGGGCTCAACTAAAAAAAATTTTATGGGGGGCTTCGCCCCCATTACCTCCCAATTTTCCGCTTTAGCCCGACCTTCGGGCGGGTTTTATATTAATATATAATACTTTTTTAAAATTTGTTAACTGAACAATTATTCAGATTTTCATATTTTGTCATTTATTATATTATGCATACAAAATAAACAGGCATATAAAAAATCACATAATGCAATAATATAATTCTTAGCAACTTACATTGACAAAAGCTTATCAAACTAATATAATTCTCTGTAACCATTTTAGACAATGTTTTATAGAATGGACTAATAAGGAAAAATTTATAGGCCAATCTTTGAAGGAGAGTATAAACGACCAATCCAAATCATAAAACTATATGGTGGTTAGAGATTCCTCTTAGATGACATGATGGAAGCTAAATAAGTAATCGAGAAAATTATTGTGAGATATTAAATTTCTAAAAGATTATCTTCCATTTTAAATGATATATAAACGACTACACAGTTGACCATTATTGTTTATCTAAAATATGCAATTATATGCTCTTAGCCGTTATAGTAATAATCTTAAATTACATAGCAAAACAAATAATAGATGGGTTAATTTGCAGTAATAGCCATGACACTAACGATGTAAACTAATATAATTTATTATGTTGGATAAATTGATAAAATAAAAACACTAAAAATCTTTGGAAGAAATAATTATGCAAATATAGTGAAGCCTGGAGTTATTTACACGGCAATGCCATATTAGAAATGAAACATTTTCTAACTATAAAATAAGGAACAGAATGATATGATGAAACAATTAAGATTTTATATATTGTCGCACCACCTTGGTATATTATATTTAAAAATAATAGTAGTATGTAATAATATCAAAAATATACTTGTATTAAAAATTTAACCCAAGTCTGTTTTTCGAAAAGAAAAAAAATAGCTTTCCTAAAAACACGTAAAAAAGAGAAGAAAAGATATCAAATTTATTACATCTATTACAGGATGAATAATAAAATGTTTAATTTTTAAAATTATTATAACTAAATAGATGGCATTAAATACTTGAAGGCAATTTATTATTATATTTATTATCAAAACCATTTATTAGTAAAATTTATTATAATATTGACTAATATATTATATAACTGTCAAATACGTCTATAAAAGTGGTATTATATTTAATATTTTATAAACAACTAGTAGAGGATTATAAACTATATATCTACTTAATTTTTATAAAGAAATCTTTTATAATTATTTGGACCTTGAAAATATATTTAAGGTATGATAATAAAATTTCAAAATAAATATACACTTGATTAGTTTTGAACTCGGCCAACTACAATATTAAATTTGTTAATTTTCAAAGAATATATGATTATATTTATTTAATTAGGGTTAAATTATAATTTAAATAATAAAAGTCAATTAAACTTCAACTGTTAAAGCTAAATTAATATTTAGTGAGTTATTGATATTATATTTTTAATACAGAAATTGATTGCAAGCTGACATAGTGAAAATATAATTTATATGTATTAATCTAATCTAATAATTAAAATAATATTCATTTAATAAGAATTTAAATAGTCTTATTAATTTCTAAAAAATATGATTATATCTATATATTATTTAATGGAATTATAAAAGAAATCATTCAGTGGCATTCAGTGGGCAATCAAAAAAATTTATTTTTAGTTCAAGGGGATATTAAGGAGCCATTAAAAAAAATTTCTTTGATTCAGGGTGCTATTCAAATTTTTCAGGGGGCTCAAGCCCCTGCTCCCCCCCCCCCCCTAGCGACTCCACTCTGTACTTATAGAAGAAATTAAATGTAAATAAATTTATATATAATTTTCAAGCCTTTGATATCCTAATTTAAAGAGCCTACTACTTATAAATAAGAGATAATACAGCCTATATCGATTAATTTAAATATATTATATGTTTTAGGTTAATTTTTAAAATTTTTCGTTGATAGGGGCAATATTTAGAATCAGCCGATCAAATGATATTTATAAACATCGCAATCTATCCCGGCGCTATTAATATTTATTTAAATTTGCATTTTATTTTGAAAAATGTTTTTAAAATTTTATTTAGTTATCACCATATTCAAAGCATCATCATTTATTATAAATAATCCTATTCAGTTAAATTTTACATATCATAACTATGATGAACTAAAAAATTATTTAATGGAAATAAATGCTAAGTATCCAGATAAAACTTATTTATATTCTATAGGAACCACCAAAGAAAGTTATCAATTATAAAAAAATTCAAATAATAAATAGATTTATAGATAGAGCTATTTTGGTTTTAGCCATATCATTGATTAAACCAAGTCGTTTGGAATTTCAAAAATATAAGAATGTAAAATTAATAGGGAATATTCATGGTGATGAGGTAATATTTAAATTATTTACTTAAAATATATGATATTTATATTTCCTGATTTCTATGTTATTAATACTTTATATAAATTTCAGAATATACATATTATTAAACATATATAGGCTGTGGGAAGAGAACTTCTTCTTCATTTTATAGAATATATATTAACTCCATCTAATGAAGATGGTTATAAAATATTAAATTCATTCATGAAAGAAACAATAATACATATTTTACCATCTTTAAATCCTGATGGATTTGAACATGCTCTACAAGTTGAAAATCACCAATGGAGGTTATTTTGATTTAAATATAATTATGAGAGTCTAACATTTATGAAATAATATTTTTACAAATTATTTCAAAGAGTAAAAATAGATATACAATGATACCTTTTATCTATAGCAGCCAAAAAATTATATTTATATTGATAAAAACTAGATTAAATTTATTTCTAATCTTAATCCTTTTTCCTCATAAAAATTTCATATTATAGAAACATATTTTTGTTCTGATCATACCTGATTTGATGTACACCAATTATTTTTACCACTTTGCTTATGGTTTGATAAAAAAAAAATTACAGACCCAATACTAAAAATTATTTGGTAGATGTTCTCTTTATTTAAATATATTATATTTTTACTTATAAAATTTGAAATAATTGTAAATACAAGTCCACCCTCCATATCCCACCCATACAATATTTGAAATCCTACCTGCTCATTTTGTTAAAAATGTTTTCTTCCCACCCACCAATTATTTAAATTTTTATAATGGGGAGAGGGCTTAAACCTTGCTTGTTACAAACCTAGTTTACACAGAAAAAATGCTCTTACTGGTAATCTTGAAAAATTTAGCGAACAAATTTTTTTTACTTGTTATAATATTTTTATTATTTGTGTTAATACTTCATTAGCTTATTTTTTAAAACTTTGCCAATTTTCAACCCTTTTATAACCAATACATGCTTCATAAGCCTATGAATTTTTAAACAACTAGTTTAAACTAGCTTAATGCCTATAAATACCTGCAGTTTACCCACAAACATGGAATATCTTCTCTTTTGGGGATCTATTTTTCCCAGATTGATGGAAATGAAAGAAATCTAGTGTTACTTTGTATCCACAACATTAAACTATGCACTTAAATTATATATCACATAATTATTATTTTTAAATTATCAAATATATTAAAAATCCGCAGGTCTGTAACTTAGCCACACTCAAATCTAACAGGAACGGGCCAAAAGGTTGTATGATTTTTTAAAAAAATTAAAAATCAGGGTGGGGCTTAAAAATTAAAAATCCAGGCATGACCAGGCTAATTTTATCAATTAATCGATTGGAATATTATAAAATGGAATGTTTATTATTTATTTGCTGCTCATATTTTCAATTTTATTTGAGCGATTGGATTGTCTAGAAACTACTCTAGGTTTAAAAATTTCAATCCCAAACATATCAGCAATTTCCTTTACCTTCTCATATACTTCATGAAATTTTTCATTCACATTCCTCTGATATTTGTTAATATTTCAACAATATCCTTTGCTCTATTCATAACCTCTTAAATCCAAATCAATTTATTGTAGCATTTGGCTAAAATCATATGTTAAATAAAAAATACATTGAATTGATATTAAAAATTGTAACTTTGTAAAAGATTCTCAGCATCTGCTGAATCTTTTTACTTGCTTGATATATAAAATTCAAGTGCTGCAAATAAGCGTCATATAGTTTATTTTAAAAAAATATAAAAATAATCAAATACTGTAGATCAATTATTATTTATAATAAATTAAAAACTTAAAAATGGTTTTTTAAATTTCAAGCATTTATTATCAATTTAGTAAATTAAAATAAAATAATTTTTAAAAAAAATTTTTATGGGGGGGGGGGGTGCCCCCAAAGCTCCCAACCCTCATACCTACGCCACTGTTCGTATTAAAAAAGGATTTGAATTATTTGTTTTAAATGCACAAAACTAGGGATGATAATGTTTTCAAAAACCTTGATTTTAGCCAATTTTTTGAAAAATGGCTACTCAATTTAGCTAAAAAATATTGCACCTACGTGAGATTCGCATATATATGGCCTAAAAATATAGGTAAATGTTTTTCAAGTTTTGAGCGAAATTGTTTTTTATTTACTTTTTATTGTTTGGATCGATATATACCAAAAAACCAGGGTTGTCAGATCTCACAATAGTGGCCAAATTTCACGATTTTTTACCTTAGTTTTCGCTAAAATACTCCCGCTATTGATTTACGCTTTCTCCCAATTTTCTTAAAAAAAATTTTCCTGATTTTTATAAGATAAATCATATAATAATTACTCTAATTCTGATGATGAAAATAATTTTTATATAAATGTGAAATAAGTATTTTATATAATTTTTAGAAATCAATCTATATAAAATAATATTTTACTAGTAAACAATTTATTTTTTAAAATTTTAACAGTTTTATATAGCCCATCAAATAAATACTGAAACATTCCCAAATAATGATGCGCTATTTTAATAAAGAAAATAAGTGTTTTAAGCAAACTTCTAAAAAAATTTTCATCGGACTAGGAGAAATCGAACGATATTGTGTCTATGCTTGTGCAGAGCCTTGAAAATTGTAACCTTTCACTATTAAATGTAAAAGCTTTTTCGTATATTAGTGTGAATTTCGGGAAAAGGCAAAGTGTAATGACGGAATTATTAGTTTTCAATGAAAATGTTATCCCCATTGGTTTCCTGTGCCATACAATTCACAATGTAGGAATAAAGGATGCTTCATTATCAATAGATATAGAAATAATTGCTATAAAATGTTATGCCGAATTCAGCAGATCCACCAGACATGGGTATCTGTTCTAAAATAAATTATGGATTCTCAAGATATTGAATGGTCTGAACATTTACGAATCGTTTCAACAAAATGGCTGTCATTAATATCGGCTTTCGAAAGACTTAATATAATTTTTGGCTGTTAAATCTTATTTTTTATCCCAAAAAAATCCTAATTCAATATTAATATTCTTTGAAAATGTATTGGCATTAATATAAGGACGACCTTAAGCAACGTGGTTAAAAAAGTGCAATCAGAAAGTATAATTGCAGTGGAATTATGAATAAATTAGTTACAACTTTAAAAGCCCAAGTTATCACAACTTTTATGGCTCGGTTGTAAGACAAAATCTTATGTAATGTGCAATTCCAATATAAAAGATATCAAATTAGATAATTATTTCAGGAATTCGTTGCTTTAAATACATTTATAGAACAAATAATATATCAAATTTGGCTCATGAAAACAAATTCATACTTTTTTTCAAATATCATTTCGCCAAATTTTGAAAAAATATAAAATATTATATTTTCGTTACCACATACAAACGCTGATTCAGAGCGCATATTTATTTTAATTAAAAATTTATGGCGGAAAGATCGTTATCGGTTATCTTTATCGGATTTAAAAGCGGAATTAATGATCAAATATAAATTTAATTATTCTTGTAAAGATTTTAAAGAATATGCAACAAAAATTAAAAATTTAATTAATAATAAAATATGAATACAATAGGATCATCCTTTATTTTACTGTTTGCTTATTAGATATATTCATTTAAATAAAGAAATAATCAACGGGAAAGAATTATAATTAAATTCTCCCGCTTTTTGTTTGAATGAATCTGGCAACCCTAGCTATAAAATTATAATACAAATAAAATCGTTGTAGGGGAGACCGGGGTAAAATGATAGGCATTTTGCATATTTACCATAAAAATTTTAAACAAGAGTCAAACACAACAAATTATAGATCAATGTGTAGCCCCATCTCTCTTCTACAAGATAAAAAAAGTGTAGCCCTCTACCTATAATATTTTAGGAGCTATGATTAGTTATGTAAAACTACTCATTTTCGCCATTTTACCCTGGGTACAGGGTAAAATGGATAAGCACTAGGGTAAAGTGGTTAAAATAATATTTGACACATATTTATTGTTTTATTTAACAAATATTACAAATTTAAGATTTATTTATGATTTTTATTTAAAAACTAATCGATACAATAAGGACATGTAAAATAATTATCATAATTAGCACATTTAGAATGTGCCCATTCAAGGCCCTCGCGACTATTTTTATAGTTTTTATTACAATTAACACATAAACAATTATTTTTTGATCTTTTTTTTTCTCTAAATTAATAATTTTTTTTTATAAGGTGTAGATGTTAATATTTCTGAATTCTTTTTTTTAAATATTTTATCCGATGAAATATTGAATAATTTAAAAATAGGTATTATAGATGAAGGATTGAATACTCTATTATAATTTTTTGAGCATGATGGTAACATATCATGATAAGGTTCATCAATATCATCTGGAACATTTTCGTTCAATAATATAGATAAATCACTATCATTATTTTGAGTCACTGTAAGATTTTGAGTCACTCTAATATTTTCATCATTATTTTCAAATTCAATGTTTGAGTTAGCATTTGAATTATTACAGCAGATATAATCTTGTTCTGTAAATATATTTGGGTTTAAAGGAAATATGCCACATGCTAAGAATCCATTTAATATATTATTTGATGTCACTGCCCTTGGTACTTCATTTTTTAACACTCCTGGAATATCATAAATCTGAAATTGTTGCCCCACATGATTTTTAGATTGAGCATTATTAAAATTATGAAATACAATATAATTTCAATTGAGCATTTTTATTAAAGTCACCAAATTAATAATATTTAGATTGAGCATTATTAAAATTATGAAATACAATATAATTTCAATTGAGCATTTTTATTAAAGTTACCAAATTAATATTGATATTTAGATTGAGCATTATTAAAATTATGAAATACAATATAATTTCAATTGAGCATTTTTATTAAAGTTACCAAATTGATATTGATATTTAAATTGAGTTATTAAAATTATGAAATACAATATAATACAAACAATATAATTTAATTACTTGTTTAGGCGTTAATCCCATAAATGACCTACTTGCTTCTAATATGTAGTCACACAATCTAAGATTCTTCTTCATTTGTAAATATTTGTTTATGATGATCTGAACTTTTAATACCAATTTTACATCTCCTTCTCAACGTTGTATAAGGTATGTTAAATTTTTTAGCAGACAAATTTAATGAAGTATTATTTTATATTTTATGGCTTCATTTATTATATTTACATCTCTGTATATGGTTTTTCTTTTATAATTTCTCATTATTTGATTGATACAATAAAAATTATAATAAATGAATTAATGAAAAATTAATGT